TAGAGCGTTGAAAATGTGTTGAAAATAAAAAAAAAAAACAGGAGAATATTAATATGAAAGCCAGGGGCGATGCATTAGGATCAGAAATCTGCTGGCGAACAATTCATTTCTTAACGGTTGCCAATCAATTTTTGGTTAATAAATTTATATACGTTTGCTTGTAAGAGTGTGATTTTGTGTGGTGTGTTTCGTTCTTTCGTGTGGGTTTGTATGTGTATTGTATGTGTGTGTGTAGTTGTGCGTGCATCATTACACGTGTAAAATAACTTTACACACATTCGTACACACAGACCCACACACACACACACACACACACACACACACACACACACACACTCACACACAGATGAAATAAAATAAAAATCCGCTATCGATAAATTGAGAAAAAGTTGAAAATGAAGGAGGAAGAAAATGAGATGATGGAGATGAAGAAAATGAGAAAGATGGAGAGGAGGAGGAGAAAGAGGGATGAAGATGAGGGGAAGAAGGGAACGGAAAGAGAAAGAAGTAGCGGCAGTAGCAGTCAGACTGCACTGGGTACGTTTTAATTTCTTTCTGAATAAAAGAGGCAAGCATAAGGTCATTAACTAAGCAGGGCACTCCGAGAAATAAAAGAACAATTGCATCTACATACTCATTATCAGATTTCTCCATCTCTCTCTCTCCTCACTCCCTTCCCCTCTCTCTCCCTCTCTCTCTCTCTCTCTCTCTCTCTTTCTTTATGCTTTTAAATTCGTTTGTACAAACGAAACCTACTTAATTTTAATGATAATATATTTTTAAAATTTTATAATATTCATTTGGAAAAGAAATAACGAATTGATAAATTTGTAAGCATTACACAATATAATATAATGCAATCACATTTCCAGCTTAAATGCTTCTAACAGTGAAATGACTGAAACAGCGAAAGGTTTGAAAGAACAGAAGCAACAACGACTCAACCAACAAATAACTCCATGTCATACTGCGTAGAATATTTTTTTAAATTTCATTTCATTCACAAACTGTATTGGTTTTAATCGATTCCATCGGCAGATAAGAAGTAGGCGCACATTAACTTCATTCATGGCATGCGTTGGGCCATTGTGGAAACGAACCATCGATAAATAGTGGACGGAAAATACGAATATGACGTAATTATGACGTCAATTTGACGGAATATTCTAAGAGGTGTTTTTTAAAATAATAAAAAACAATAATCTCAAACGCGAACATCATCTTTGTGAAAGTAATTTAATAACGTGATATCACGTGCTAGATTGCAGAGCGTCAATATCAATATAAAAACATGGCATGGATATTGTAATCAAATGATTATAAAACCAAAACAGAACACACACACTCAAATACATAAATACACACATAAATACACGCACATTCAAAAACATACACACCACATACACGCACGTACACACATACATACACACTATTATATGATTTTGTATACAAGTGAATAGTAACGCATTATTGCGTTTTATATTAGTATTTACTTCCTTCACTGTTTCATCACTCTGTCTCTCTTTTCATCTCTCTCTCTCTCCCTCTCTCTCTTTATCTCGCTTTCATTTTTCTTTCCTTTTTTATTTTTTCCCTCTCCACTTGCTCACCATCTCTCCTGTTTAGCAGGTTCAGTATCTCACGAATGGAAGGGTACAATGAAATACAAAGCCTCCATATTTGCTCGTCCCACATAACAGCATCCTCTAAAAAACATTCCGCACTCTACGTTGCGTGTACGCTTGCGTATGTATATATTTGCGTGTACGCTTGTGTGTACATTTGCGTGTACGCTTGCGTGTACCTGTACACCAGTGAGTTTTTTTTATGCATCCTGTATTCTGGCACACGTACGTATCCAAATCGTCACTATCAAAAGGTCGATAAATATTGCTTGCATATATAAACGCATTTACACGATCACGCATGCCAACAACCTCGTACATGATCACAGAGACAGACAGACATAAAAATACAAAGCATGTGCTCGCGCACACATGCATTCACATACACGCAATAGCAGATACAATGATACATACATACAAAAATTTGAACATTTCAATTCAACAATGGTTCGTTAGGAAAAATCTAGAATGAGATGGCAGCGATTAATTGCATGCATTTCATTCTTAAGTCATCCCATTTGCTAGAGCATTCTATCTTCCAACCTACCTGACTACCTCAACCGACCTTTGCCGCTCACCCTACCTTGATATGCATTTGTTTAGAAAATCATTCTACGTGATATACAAGAGATACATTAGATACATGAGATACATTAGATACTTGTGATACATGAGATACATTAGGTACTTGTGATTGTATCAATAATACATGAAATACATGAGATACATGAGATACACGAGGTACGTTAAAAACATGAAATACGTGAGATACATTAGATACATGGGATTCATGAAAAACATTAGACTTATGTGATACGTGTGATACTTGAGATACTTGTTAAACACATGAGAAACATTGGATACATATAACGTTCTCTTGGGTTGCACTTATTTGCTGTTTCGGATGTGAAATACAATGTCATGCAGTAATATTTGAAATTCGGACACATTTATATGAATAGTCCAGATGCTATTTTGATTTGCAGACAAACATTTTTTCTTTCTATTTCTAGTTTTGAATTGAAAAAATTTCAGCCGGACGAACATTTCAACAACATAAAATGTGTGAAGCATGAGCTTATAACCATATGCAGTGAGTTAATTTACATTACTTTATCGACAAAAATTGAACAAAAAAATAACAACATTAAAAGCTAATACAACAGAAACTGCTTCTACCACCGAAATAATACAAAAGCTACAACAACTACAACAGCTATAACAACTACAACGGCTACAACAACTACAACGGCTACAACAGCTACAACGGCTACAAACGGCTACAACAATGACGACGACGACGACGAAGATGAAAGTGCGACTGGAAGAATTTTATGCAAACAGCATTTCCACGAACAATAAAAAGATTGCGTTTGAAAGAAATTGCAGACTCAACAATCGAAGTGTTGCGTGTTTAACAACAACGACAAAAACAAAACTAACAACAACAACACAGGCATTCAAAAAAATATTGATTTTATAAACAATGACGTAAAAATTTGTAACAGCGAAATTAGTAATGAGAATAACTCAAGAACAAAATCAATAAAAATGATAATAAAAATTGGAAATTTAAGGATATTAAATAAAACAAAATTGACAAAACCACACATTCACACAACCACACGTCCACACAAACACATAAACACACATTCACACATCCACACAAACACACATCCATACGACCACACATCCACATAAACACATCCACACAAACACATAAACACACATTCAACAAAGACACATCCATACAACCACACATTTACACATCCACAAAACCACACATCCACACGACCACACATCTTAGCATTGTACAAGAACGTGGTGATCTAGCGAGGAAACACATTAACACCGCGCGTCAGTCACATCTCTGCTATACAAACAATATTTTGATTATACTTATAGACAGATTTAAAACACGCATAAACATCACATGTTAGCGCACGCAAAAAATAAACAGATTTAAAAGCGCACACGCATAAAATATATAAACTAAAACTATACATTTGCTCTAATAACTTCACATACAAATTTCCAAACCAAGCAACAAATCAATTCTTTAACACATCGTCACACAACCCATGCATTACTTCATGTGCATCATTCGCACACACAAGTAAACGCATATACACGCACGTACTTGCAAGCACGCACACATACATGCACAGATATATGCACACATGTATGGGCACATTCACGCACACAAACACACACATGCATTTGTATACGTATGCAAGTATCTCTACATCGGCCAGTTGCGTTACTAAGCCCCTCCATAATTGCTCAGATAACACGAGCAAATTGAACTTTCCACGCGTACAACATACAAATGTCTATAATTTAAATCGCTGCAACATAACGCGCTTAATGTCATTTTATGTTTTTTTCAACACCCGTCCGTCAATTTAGAAGTTGCTTTTCACTTTTATTTACTTTCTCTTACCTCCACTTATTGTTAACAGCTTTACTTCATGTTTCCAGTTTTTTGTTCGTTTGCGTTTCTTTTAATACCTCTTCAATTCAGCTCAACATGTTCCGATTGCATACTGAAACGTTCTTTCGTTAAACATTCTTCTATTTGTTTGTTTGTTTGTTCGTTCGTTTGTTGGTTTATTTGATTGTCAGTTCATTCTGATTATTTATCTTTTTATATTATTTATTTCATTCTTTTTCCATCTACGCGTTTTTGGTTGCATTGGGAGAGCTGCAAATGCAACAACCCTAACCCACATACAACAAACCACATTTAACAAACGACCAAAAGCAACACACACAAAACCAGCTTACAAAACCAGCATACAAAAAACCAACATACAACCCATGTGGAAGGCAATTTGTGGCGGCGATGTAAGCGTTCAATTTAAATGAGCCAACATAATGGCAGGCAACGTACAAATATTGATAGATTGCTTTCCCAGATAAGGGCATAACTGAGTCAATTTAGATCACACTGATCAGTTTTTTCTGCGTTTATGATTTATTTAACGTTTTTAACAAGCTATTTTGAGGCTAAAATGGCGGAAATTTGAAGTTGTTTGTGATATCGAAACTTGAATTAACTTTTAAATAAATTTTCATTCGTCTCTTTTGATTCAGCGTTTTTGGTTTGAAAGAGGAGCGTCTGGCTGTCTTTTTTGAAAGCTGCGTTTTTCCGATCGTGCCAGTTTAAAAATTCAAATTTAATTTTTTTGATCAAGTAAAACGATAACTTATAATTAAAATGGTTAGCCTTCATAATTCAGTATTTTGTAATTTTCATTTCAAATCTCTTCTCGAAACTTCTCAATTTTCATCCCGACTACCTAACAATGAATATTTTATAAAAATTTGTTTTTTGGTGTGTTTTATTAGGCATCCAGTTCAGTATGTAGCACA